GATAAAACACAGAAAAACATGAAGCTGATTTTCCTGGCCTGGGATTTTATAAAAATATTCCACAGTACATCAAAAACGAAAGAAAACCATTAACCAGCATATGAACATTACCTCGGAAGTTACAACGGTTTTATTAGAGACACAGCATTTTGCATTTTGCATAATTTTAAAAAGTTTAAATTTGTTCAGAAGCCTGTTGAACGGCAGAAATGAGGTTTTCTTTTCGGAAGTAAGTAAAAGGAAAAAAAAGAGAGAGAGAGCTGTGCATGAAGTGTGGTGGAAGCAAAACAGCAAACGTAAGAGGGAATCCATGACGATGTTTATGTGAAGCGTAGTTTGGATCTTCTTTTGCTGCTGGTTCAGTCAGTATTGTTTGGAGAGAGATAAAACTAAAAACGGCGTGAACACAAAGCACGGACCCGCCGAAACATCAGAATCAGCGAGCTGTCGGCTTTCAGCCCCGACCGTGTCCGTGCCGTCGGTGAGAAAGGCGACGTCTCACTGATTCTGATCGGCGGGTCGGCGCTTTGTGTTTACGTCTTTGTGCAGAATCCGTGTTCCTGCTCTCATTTACTGTTTTAAATGTTTGGTGGTTGTCGAAATTTTGTGACGTTTCACCTGAGATTCTGGAATTTCAGGCAAAATACATTTATATTAAAAAATCAATTCAGGATTTTAATGAATCGATATCACGTTATCCAAGCCCGAATCGATTTTAATCGATGAATCGATTATTAAAACCCACCCTAATCCAGAGTATCCCAGAAAGTTGATTTTGTTCATTTGGGCCTTGCATTTTCAGTGGTAGTGACTTTGTCACCCTTCCCAGTGGCTTCTTCAGTCGAGACACAAATGAAGATGAAGATTTAACTTTCTGGGATTTCAGCACGTTTCTATGATTTTTAGAGGCGAGTACAATAACCTCAACAATCAGAGGTCATCCAGGTCTTTAGGTCTTTAAGACATTCCTGCAGTTTAGCTAATTTATGTGTCGAGTCATGGAATAATAAATCTGGGTATCATCTGCATAGCAATGAAAATGCAGCTGCGCCTTCTAATTATACTGCTGAAGGGAAGCATGGAGAATGTAAACAGAATTGCTTATTCGCTGCTGCTTTTAAATTAAAATTGATTAGGTAGTAGAAGAGATTTAAAGAGTGTAGCTGCTTTGTGTACGCCCATCTTCAGTTAAACTGTAGTCACATGCTGACCTCCTGACATATGTGGAGCTCTTAACGATGGAAAAGTCTGTCTTTAAGCCCTAGTCTAGTAGAAATCGCTCATATTCTGAGTCCTCTCTGAAGTGGTGTGAAGCAACAGGGTGTTGGCTTTCGGCTGTCCATGGTCCTGAAAATGAAAGCATCCACTGCCTGTTTTATTAGGAAAGTTATTATTATTTATTGATTTACTCATTCACAGCTGAAAAGGTACTCCAAAGTGAGCAGAGCTTAAAAACCAAAGGTAACATCACGCTCAAATGTTGCACACTATATCTTTATTAAATGTTTCCAGGAAATACACATGGCCGGACTGCTTCTGAGAATCCTGCCTGATCAATAATGATTATATTTGAAGTGGATAACAAATGGTGGCCGGGGGCTGGGGGGGCTTGTTTAAGCTCTTCTTTGTGCAGAGATGAAAATAAAATGTCAGAGTCAATCTGTAGATTTGTTGTTGGCTTGTTTTAACCGGAGTCAAATAAACAGATGATTCAGTTCAGACCGCAGGTCATCAGGGACTCAGCCTCTGTTTCCATGGTAACTGGTCTCCAGCTCTTGATGCTGACTGTAAGCAGGGGCCTACAGCACATTACCTATATGATTCATTTTGATTTCAGCATTATAAGACCTGTGATTTGTGTTTTCCCCAGTTTGCTGCTGCAGGCGTGAAGCTGCTGCGGCTCCTCTGATTGACTTCGTGACGTGAGAACAACATCAGAGTGAAGATAATGAAAGCTGGCAGGGGAAATGGCCCAAATCAGCGGTGTTCCTGCACTCAGAAAAAAAAAGAATTTCATGTTTTAATTGAGCAATGAAAGCTCTGAAAGTTTTACAGCATCAGAAAAGCCGAGTGTGGTAACAGAACAGCAAAAGAACAAAAAAAAAAAAAAAGATTTCATGTTTTAAAGGGTAAAGACTAACAGAAGCGCCGGATTTTACTTTTATGTGCCCCTCATTCTAGTAAAAACAGTCAAAGCTTGGACACATTGTGTTTGTTGGAGTCCTGGAACATGCAGCATTCAGAGACTGAACCAGTGCCGAGGCTGGTACTGGTTCCTGCTGCCATTTAAATGCTGTTGCTCTACTTCGCGCTGCCCCTTCAAAGGAGGAGACTGCTGCTGTGTTTTTGTCTCCACTGACGAATGGCGATGCCTGAAAAGACGTCTAATCTGTCAAATTTAATTTGCAAATGCAGCATATTATTATTATTCATCTGATGCTGCAGCCACCAGCATGGCTCTGTTTTATATTTCAGAAAGTCCAATCAACAACAGCTCCTGAACAGTCAGTGGTATCTAAAGAGATTTTAAAATTCTTTCTTCCTGTCTCACAGGCAGCAGGCTCTGCAGGAGCAGAGTCTCTCCAGGCCCCATCATTTGTTCTTTTGAATTAATTAATTCTTAATGCATGCAAAAATGTGGTTAATCACATTATGTTTCTTTTGAAATCTTCCTATCCTTTCAGTTGTTGTACAGCAGCTTGAACAAGAATTTTCCTCCTTCTTGATTTATTAGTGTTTTACATATTTGTCATACTTGCATGCTTCAGATCAAACAAATTCTAACGTTAATCAAAGCTAACCTGAGTAAATACAAAATGTAGGTTTGAAGAAATCTATTTCATTTATTAAGGATTTTTTTTTACCAAACCTAGCTGGCCCTGTGCGAAAGTCACTGCCCCTTATACCTAATAAGTGGTTGGCAACAAAAACTGCAACCAGACATGTGTGATAACTGGCACTGAGTCTTACACATTGCTGGTGAGGAATTTTGGCCCACCCTTCCTTGTAAATTGTTTAAATCCAGCCACACTGGAGGGATTTCAAGTATGAACGGCCTATTTAAGGCCAAAGCATCTAAAATGGTTCGGAGTCAGACTTTGACTAGGCCTCTCCAAAATCACAGGTGGACGTGCTGGTGTGTTTTGGGTCCGATGAAAAACCCAAGTGCACTTGAGCCAGACCTTCTCTGACGTTTTGAGGAGAGAGAACAGAATTCATGGTTCCATCAGCTGGAGCAAGTGTCCAGGTCCTAAAGCAGCAAAGCAGTACCAGACCATCACGCTACCACCACCAAGTTTGACTGGTGGTATTATGGGTATGTTTATGAAATGCTGGATGTGTTTTTATGTGTGATTTGAACTCAAAAGGTTCAGCTTTTGTCACATCAGTCCAAATATTTTCCAAACTTGGAGATTTTTAAGATGTTTTTGGCAAATGTGAGACAAACCTTTGTGTTCTTTTTTGTGAACAGTGTTCTTTTTTTTTACCAGGCTCTTTCTTATTGATGAATCATGACCTCTGACCTTAACTGAGGCAAGTGAGGGCTGCAGTATTTTAGATGCGGCTCTGAGTTTTGTGACCTCCTGAATGAGTCGTTGATTTGCTCTTGGTGTAATTTTGGGAGGCTAGCTACTCGGGAATAAGTTCACCACTGTTACAAGTTTTCAACACTTTTTGATGATCAGATTGTTCAGAATGAACAACGGGCTGTGAGGTCAGTTCCTTGACATGATCCAGGAACTGACCTCACAGCCCGTTGTTCATTCTGTGGGCTGGTTTCCGACGTTGTGCAAATGTCCTGTTTATAAGGCTGGGGAAAGCTGCGGTCAGCTGAGAACAAAGAAGTCACTTGGATGAGTGACGAAACGTTTCTGCCACTGAAAACGCTGCGTCCAGATGAACAGAATCAACCTTTGGGGTCTTCACCATGGCTCACTGGAGTCTCACAGCCTTAGAAATGGCTTCGTAACCCTTTCCAGGCTGATAGATGTCACTGACTTTCTTTCTCAGTTGTTCTCGAGCTTCTTTAGATCAAGGAATGATGTTTCTTTTTGAGATCTTTTAACCTACAAAAATCAAAAGCTCTAAGATATCAGGACAAGGGTAAATATTTTTTTCATTCACATAATATGTTCATATGTTTGCATCTAATTATTTTGCTTACTCCAAGATATCAGTGCATTTATGATATGTTTACTTTCTTCATATGTGGTTTGTTTGTTGCACAGTGGTGTGAGTTATCTTTGAGGGAGCTGAGCTCACAGCTGGCTGCTTAGTTGAACTAATTTCTGAGTTATTGCATCTTTTTCTTCTTCTTCTTCCTTTGGGGGTATTCAAAAGTAAGGACACTAGTGTCATAATAAGCTGCAGAGAGGACCCAGCAGGCTGGTTGAACAATAATAAGTAAGCTTTTTATTAACTAAAAACTAGAATTCCCAGAAGGCAATAAAAACAGGAATCCTAGAAAGGTTTGACGTAACAAGGGAGAAACAAGAGTAAGATACGTCAAGAACAAGCAGATAAATGTGCACACAAATGCACAGACAAACACAGACAAACACACCACTACCACCTCTCACTCGCAGTCATGTTATTAAATGTCTGATGCCATAAATCAGACAGGAAATGAACCCTGTCATTGGTAAACATGTTGTCTGATCACCTTCTGCTTTGTTGATTACGTCAGGTTTTAATCACATTTACTCTCCATGAGAGTGCTATCAGCTGCACGAAGAGAAAAATATAGTTATCAAGTGGAAAAAGCATCAGTGCATCTGCCCATCTCAGACTCCCAGTGACTGTCAGTCTGTCTGTGGCCTTCTCGGCCTTCAGCTCACTCATTACTACTGACAATACGTTTTTTAACTGGGTTGAAAATACACAATTTGATTGTTATTAAAGTTATTCCATTTCCTACAAATGTTTCCTATAATTGTATGTATCTCTGACAGATGAATAAAATTCTGTCTCCAGCAGCAGGATGGAGTACATGGCCCTGACTCTGAATGAGCTGCACTGATGATGTGATGTTTAACAGGTTCTGCCTGAAGGTTGCAGGTTTGTTGGAAATACAAAAAAAAGAAGAAGTGTGTGTGTGTGTGTGTGTGTGTGTGTGTGTGTGTGTGTGTGTGTGTGTGTG